ATAGCACAATAAATAATTAATTAAATAATGGGCATTTTATTCGGAATCTTCTTTTAATATTTATTACGCGACGTTTAAAGATTTTTGCAAACAATTAGGTACAAATAGAAACAACTGTTAACTTTCAATTATCGTATTCAAGCTTGTAGCATACCTATGTGCGGCGCCTAAAAATAAATAATTAAATAAATATCATACCTGTAGTATCATTAATGCGGTTGTTCAGGAATTTAATTTGGAATGCTAATAAGAACGAATCACTCCCTCGTACTAACCAAAAATTGTAATTAATGGTAGAGAAAGTTTACATAATTGTTTCTAATTATGAGCAGGCAGTTTAATAATTTTATTCATCTACCAGGTGAAGATAGTACCTATGTACATTTAAAGGACTTATTAAATATTGAATTGCCTCTTAAAGTATTTAAATTTGTAAAATTTTGGATGAAAACCTATTATAATGTCTCTGTAATATGAGAGACCATTAATTTATACTATCGGAATGAAAAATGCCGCAAAATTCCCACGTTTGAAAAGTGTCAGCTTAAGATTGAAGAGGCGGTCAAATAGAAGACGATTTTGTTCATCTTTAATAAAAGGTCATAAGGCCACTAATGACTTCCTATATTCATGATTGAATTGACATGCCTAGTGTTAAAGTTTGATAACGTAAAACTACAATAAATTGTAGTCAGAAATGTCAAATAGATTCAAGCAGGAACTAGAACACGAAATCTTGCTTTCTTTCGTAGATCAACGTCTATTATGTAATACTTATTGATCTTCTCGTTATATGTACTCAAATAATCGTTAAATAGAAATAGTTGATGGATTTCTAAAAAGTATCAGGAGGTATTAGAGAGAGTGAGCTGAGGTCAATAAGATAGGTTGGAAGGACATCTTCTCAGGCATGAAGGGGTAGTTGGAGATATATTGGAAGCAGAAACAGAAGTTAATAGGGATAGACGTAGAGTTAGATTAGTTTACTGTTCACAAATAGTTAAGAATGTGATATGTTCTAGTTTTAGGGAAATCTGTAAAGATTAGCTCAGGGTAGAAAAGAGTGGAAGTGTGTGTCCATCCTGGAAAACTTAGGAAAAATATAAGATCCATTGCCCTTTTAATCATCACATTACCTATAAAGAATAGAATAGCACTAGCTACAAAGAATAGAAGATTATTGAAAATTTTGTAGTGCAAACAATTTAGGATTCTAATCGATTCTTCGATTCTTTGAGGTTTTACTAGCAAGGAATTAAGCAAAACTTGATATTTTAATAAAAGGTATCTAATCACAACAATACAAACTCAAGAAAGGATATATAGTGAAATAAAATAAGAATCTCAAAAATGATATATCTAACAATAATATAAAATGGAAAGAAAAGAAAGAAAGAAAAATAGAAAAACTGAAAACTGAGTAGAAAAACTGGCGAAAGATGACACAAGTTAGTTCAAAATATAATTTCAAAATCGTGAGAGGAAACTCTGGAAAAAATTCCAGTTTAAACAAAGAAAGAGGTCTCTCCCCATTAAGAGAGATAATGCAATAAAACTTCTTCTGTTTAAGAACAATAACACAGAAATCTTTAAACAAAAGTATAAAGAATAATAAATTGTATTGTTGTTGTTGTCAGTAGTAACTACAGACGTGAAGATTAAGTAATAAATACAAAAGAAGTTGTAATTACTATTATTTTTGTAAGATTGGGTAGGCTTCTGGCATTTCACGAGCCAAGATACCTCTGCATCTTTGAAAGGTTAACTTCTTTCATGTATTAGTCAGTTTTAGGTGGGGAAATGGTATTGTCCATGGGGGGAAACTTCTCTCACAAACCAATACAACAACCAAAGAACTACTCGATTAACTTGTTAATAGAAAGCTTTTATAAAGAAGAACCTGCCACAAATTATCAGTTTGCAGAAAGAGGTGTACACCTTAGCACCTCCGGTTAATAAACAAACAATTTTTATAAAAACTAATTAAAAGTAAAATTAAAAAAAAAAAAACAACAAAATGAAGTTTTTCGGAGGTTTGGTTCTACTCGTTTTCGTCTGCTGTGCAAGTAAGTTTTTACTTTTGTTTAATTTTAATTTTAATTTTAAGAATTACCCAAAGTTTATTTATAATATTTCGCGAGGATCTTTTGCATAATTGCACAATTTATTGTACACATTTTGCAGTGCAACTTTCTTTTCGTACAATAAATATTTGTACAAATGTCAGTGTAACAAGTAATTGCCTGTAATCCTTGAACACTTTCATGTACTTATTATTTACCATTATTCTAAGAATTTTCTTGTAGTCGGTCAATTTTTATAAAATAAGGCGTCGGTTTAATACAAAAGGTTTCGATATTAATAACTTTTATAGTGTCTTATGCATTTGATAGGTGATTACATCCAAGTTTTTGTTCTCAATGGATAAACTATCTTTAGTTTAACCTTCATGTGTTAAAACAATTTCAGTTTTTCTTGAATTTCTTCGGGCTTTTCTTAAAATTTTTTAGAACATTCCGTCGAATTTTATAACTAGTTATGCGCTTATTTATAAATAAAACGTAATTTCTAATGTTAATTAAGTAATAAAAGTTGCCTCAAATATATCTAAATACTGAAAATAAAAGGTAATGACTAAAAATACCTTGTTTTTGTTCTTTGTTTGTTTTCACTTTGAATTCAACATGTACCTCCCGATTACGTAATAACAAAAACAATCCACCTAGAAGCAAAATTGTTAAAATATGCACTAGTTTAATTGGAAATAAACATTGTTAATTATGATAAAAAGTTTAAAGCATTCGGTAGTTTTATGAAGAAA